TGGCAATTCGTTGGAGACGATGGTTGCACTCGCTCCGAACGACCTTCCACCCAAAACATAAACGTAACCAATTAACCCCTGAAAATCCAACGAAATTGGAGCGCCGGCATTTCAGCCGGACCTATTCGATTACCCGCAAGATTAACAATAGGGTGAACCCCATAAAAAGAACCGGATGACTCTATAATTTTGGCCCTTCTTCACGATAATTTTTCTGGGCCCTCAAAGACGCGCAATTACTAATCTTTACTAATAAACGGAACCGATAACTCTAACCGGAAATAAGCCACTTGGAAGTGGATAAGGGACTCTCACTCTCTCGCTCTTGGATTTTTACTCACGGATTTTAATTCAACGGTGTAGGAGTCTCGCTGTTTACAGATCGTTTTCAGTGTTCCTAACGAACATCCCCACATGTTCGTTACAGAACGTTTCATCTTCTAAGGAAGAGCAGTTCAGGGGCTTCTTTATTCTTCCAAAATTCTGAATCGTTACAAAAATCAAACAATTAAAACCATACACAACTGTCATGTGACACCAGAAAAATGTTAATACGTACAAATTACATTGGAAAACATCATAGTATATAAATGGAGGACAAAAAGTTGAGTAATTCCACAGAAATTCTTCAATTTTCCCACTTTATTTCAACTACTGTAAAATATCGGAATACCACTTAGACCAATTTCATGTCATCTCATTGTTGAAAATAATTACGATGATCAAGAAAACATCTTCAAAAAGGTTATATCCTGACATTAGATCCTTGACATTGAAAAAGACAGAATTTCAAAAATGTTTCTAAACAAGTGCTTCATCTCTATATGATTATTTTAAAAAAACTTTTTCATGTAAGACCTGAATATTATACTTTAAACTCATCAATATAATGTTTCTAGAAAACAAAAATATTCCCGAGAAGATGATAAAAAAATCGTAGACTACATAGTCAAAAATAACCTAATTGATTATGTCGGAGGGTTGACAGTTTTCAAGCGAATCGAAGCGGATGAGGTGAGTACATGCTGTAGAATGATCTTCAATTAGAATATGAAAATTGGACTAAAATGCTAAACATGTATTTTCAATCGCTCATAACTCGTACATTTTCCCTTATCTATCGAAATCAAAATAATATATGTCTGATATTTCTCATTCAATTTTCCATATTCAGAAATAGAATAGCCTCATACTTTTTCCATGCCTATGTCTCGTATGGACAAAATCACGGCCAAGCCACCGATTTTCATAGTCATTTCATAGCTTTTGGTGGGCATTTGGGACGTGTCGATAGCCAAGATGGGAATGATGATATTGGAGCCCCGATTTGATCCGTGAAAATTGGCTCTCATTTTGACCCTTAATAATAATTGGCGCTCAATTTGATCCTTAAGAGCCTTTAGGTACACCCCTCGGAGTTGGCTCTACCTTTAACCCCTAAGAGAAGGCCCTCAATTTGACCCCTGAAAGTATGCCCTCATTTTTACCCTGACATTTTAAACCTTGGTTATTAGTTCGTTCCATAATGAGTTGCACCCAATTCCATCAAAATATGTAAGGGTAAAATAAAAGTCAAAATATAAAGGTCCAAAGTTAAGGGTCAGAATATAAGGGTCAAAACTAGAGTCAGTATTTAAGAGTCCAAATTTAAGGGTCAAAATATAAGAACCAAAATGTATGGGTCAAAATATCATGGTTGAAATATAAGGGTCAAAATCTAAAGGTCATACTGAGGGCCAATTATTATTAAGGGTCAAAATGGGGGCCAATTCTCAGAGATCAAATCGGGGGTCTAATATTATCTCTCCCCCCTTGGCTATGAACACGTCCCAAATGACCACTAAAAGTCATGAAATGACCATAAAAATCCTGGCTTGGCCGTGGTTTTGTCCATATGTGGCCACATTGATTGGGACGATTAATCTGAGATGCTATACAAACTCTTCCCTTTAGTGAAAAATGATTGCTGTATGAGGGACGGCAGAACTCGATAGATACAAGAAATTTGAAATGAAAAAATGGCTAGGATCTGGTTAGCTCAATCGGAAAGAGAGCATATATTTGAGGAACAAAACAGAAACCAAAATAGAACTCAAAATAGGATAATTAAGAACAAGTTCCGTTCACCCAAATTTTTTTATATTCAAGTTGAAAATATTATATAATAAAAAAGAATTGAGAAATTCATTCAGTATTAAACATATATTTAAATTTACAGAGTATCAGTAATTGATATCTCATCTCTTATTAAATTACATCCAGAGGATTGAAATTATATAAAAATTTCTTATATCCTTTTACCTGTAATTATATGAACGCTTTTTTAGACATCAATTTCAATTACATTACCTTTTTTCCTTTGCTTTAAACCTGTTTTTTTGAGCGCACAAACTAAAACATAAATAATGCTTCAGAATGGAGCAAACAATTCTATTCCAACAATTCTAAATGTTTGAAGCTCGAGTCAGAATGTGTCCACAGTTTACCAAAAATCAGAGGTATAGTACGTTAATTTTTTTAGATACCTGTTTTTTACGTAAAATATTGTAAATAATGTTATGCCGTTGAATAAAAAAATGGTTAAATGAACAAAAAAGGAGCACCCGACATGCAATCGGAAGGTCCCGGGTTCGATTCCCGGTCTGGATGATCCATTTTTTCAGTAGATATCTCTTGTAAACTAATATCGAGAATCATCCTGGTTCCCATCCTACGTATTCCAAAATTCTGTCCAATAATACTTTGTAACGTCACAAGATGTGGAGCGTTGCATGAACTCCCGTCTTTAGTGACGTTCTTTAGTGAATTGTTTGGAGAGTGTTCTGGGATGAATTCCCCTAGAACTCATGCAGAACCCCAATTAATCATCATTGGAATTAATTCTACTTATTCTAGATCTTCAAAAATCCGACTCGCACATGGCAAAACTTGAAAAACCATTACAACAATGTCCTCCGAGATAGGATTGCAGAATACATTGATGATCCTGATGTGATCAAGGCATTTGAAGAGGGAAGGAAACGGAGGTATTTGAAGTTCGTTGAACGATCCTCCAAAATCCAAGTCAAATAGAAGTTGACGTCTGCAGGCTGCGTTTCTGCTTCTCAGATACAAGCAAAAAGTACTTGGTGTAGAAACTTCTGTATTTTTCTGAACAAAATAAAACGGGAATAGAGACTCTGACCAATTTTAAAATTCATAAATCTTCAAATATTAATTAAACTCCTAAAACTTCCTATAGACAAGTACAGACGCCCGCATTTCCCTAGGCGCCAGTTCATTTTATTTTACCACGTGAAAAATAGACAAAATCACGTCCCTTGACGTCCACTGCAATTGCACTGAATCAGTCTTACTCGTACTGTTATCAGCAAGGGGAAGGGAGGACGATACTCCCTCTTGGAATTCCTGAACTCCAAAAATATTCCAAATAGTCTAAAATACCCCACAACACTTAAAAATACGCACAGAATGAAAGACAACACCAGAATTTAATATTCCAATGAACCAAGTACATTGTTCAACCAAAATCAAATATAAAATTTCACAAAATTAGAGGATAATCGGACTTGAATTAACATAAACGAAAAGACTAATAAATCTACCGTTTTGGAATCCCGAAAAAAATTGACCAAAGGAAATTTTTAAGTTGGCTGAGTTTTAGCACGTTTTGGGTGCGGACAATTTTTTTCGCCTACCAAAGTTTTGGAGGGTCAAAATGACCCTATGACGACAAATAATCGTGTTTAAACCCTAATTACTATCGTGCAATCAAATCGAAGCAATAAATGAGAAATGCAACTCAGAAATAATTATAAAAATTATGAATGTGGGGAAGATTTCCCTCACAATGATATGGAACTAAGGAAAACCCAGAATTTGACCATTATCAGGGGTTCTTATCTCATTCAGCCCGTGATTTGAGGTTCAAGGTCGTCCTAGATCGCCCAGTCTTTAGTAAGTTCAGAAAATCGACTTCTCAAAGTAGACTGTCGCGTGTCCATGCGATTGCTCAATTCCACTGGTCTCAAAATCTAGTACTTTCCAACTTCACCTCTGTTACTCCAGCTCAAAAATCTTTAACTATTAAATCTACTACGAAATCTGTTATTCTACAACTTCAATTCTATTCCAAAATCTTCTACTATTATACGTATGAAAAAATCGGATGGAAATTTTCTATACGAATTGCATATAGAATTTCTATAGGATTTTCGTATATGATATTCGAATATTTCTATGCGGATATTTTTTATACAAATTATTTCTATACGATTTCTATAGGATTGATCCTACACGACCCACTGCCACATGTATAGAAGCATTTCGTATGGAGTTTCGACATGTCTCTACGTCTTTCTCTGGAGCGTTTAGACATCTTTCGTATGAAAACAAAAATTTATGTCAAAATTTATGTATAGAAATAATTCGTGTAGAAATATCTGAATATCATATACGGAAATCCTATAGAATGTCTATACAAACAATCCGTATAGAAAATTTCTTAACGATTCTTTCATATTTGTAACGATTTTTTCATACGTATACTCTCTACTATGACGGGTGCGTTCCGCAATCGAGGTAGTCGCAGTAATAATACTGCAACCCTATCGAATTTTGCTTGACTGCAGCTACGGTAGTTGATTCCGGAATGCACTCGACGTTTCGGGGAGAACTGAGTCAGTGTGACAGAAGGGCACATTGGGGGCTCTGCACAATCGGCCGGCTGCACGACTGGGGTTTTTCATGATTTCCCGTGCAGTCCTAGCCCGACTGGGTTACAGTTAAGAGTAAGACGGCCCATGGTAACGCAGATAAAAGTCAGAACGGAGAAGTGGCACTGACTAGAGACGCACATTAGACCACTATACCGTGCCTTCCTTCCGAAATTTTAGGGCGAAGGTGTTCCTAAGCGGTCACCCATCCAAATACTAACCGCGCTAAATGCAGCTGCACTCAGATGTCCCCCGGAGCAACACCTAACTCATCCAACCATTACGGTCGGCATTATGGGACTATATGTATATAATTCCAGATCGACAGTGGCCCCTTTTTACGTGATAGACATCCACATATGATCGACGTCTTATTGTTCTACCTTCATTTTATCATATATTTGGGTCTAGTTTGGACGTCCGTGATTTGGATCTAGTTTAGACTACATTCATGATCCACAAATATTGAAAGAGTTCAATATCTCGACGAGTTAGAGAACATAATAATATGTACTATTAGAAAAGCTGCAGATTGATTCGAAGGCCGAGTTTTCATATCTGATCTATTCATGAAGAAGAGTTTATTTTGAGTTTATATTTATTTTTCTTGTTCAACTTCGTTCACCCATTCGTATTTCAATCTCATGACTCAATTCTTGTTCGATTTCTCTGGAATAATGAATATCAACTCTGTCGACGATTTAAATAAACTCGTTTCGATGAAATAACTAATGCTAATGGATTCTTTTGAAAAAGAAATGTGTGGATGTCAAAATATGTGGAAGATTCAATATTTTTGCGTGATTAAATTTATTTTCTTATGCTTAATTATTCATTCCTGAAAGGAACTTAATGTAAAGTATATGTCCATTCGTTGTCTTTTATGATCCAAGTTTCGCGATAGAATATGTGAATATTCTTCTTTGCCGACTGTCTTCAATCAAGGTCATTCGTGACTGGCTTGTAGCAAAAATCCTGAGGGCAAGATGTGTTGCCATCTTCTGAGGATTCTGCATATCTTATTTCTGAATTATAAATCCATATCCTTCGCTTTCATCTTTCGTGCGACCAGTGATTATACTACTGCGAAAGCAAAATAATCATAATTTCGAAGTTCCAATTGCGTTCACCATTGTAATTTGTTAACTCTGGAATTGATGAAGCCACTACTCAACTACGACCTATTTTACATGAACGGTTATCCAATGAAATTCTATTTGGATGGATACACCGATGTTCAAATTCGCGAAATGGCTGAGATTATTGAGGTATAAAATTTTCACCATTTAATTTGTTATTTTTATCGATTGATTGGAAAACGTGGTTTTTTAGGCTTTCGGTGGAAAATTCTCTAAACCAGGAGAGAATACTATCGTTTTTTCATACCCTGGGGCTCCGAACAGTGAAAATTGTGATCGTTTTGACAGTAAATTTTTTTTCGACAGTGTGACAACAAGTCAACTACAAAAACTGGATAACTACAGGTAAAAATGAAATGCATCTCACTAGTGTCAAATTGCTGGTCTAATTGATTTTGTAATGCTTGTGTTCAATTGTGAAAATCGGTCTATGGAGTATATAGATAGAGTAAAAGTATAAAATCTTCACAAAAGAAATATGAAGTGGACCGACGCCGGTGGGCTAAACGCAAGTCCAGTGTGCAAAAAGTGAATTTGATTTCCCGTGGAACCGAATTTTTCAACGGAAGGCTCCGGCGAGCGGGAAGTTGCTAATAGAGTAACCGCCTGTACCGGCATGGGTTTCCTGTGGTTTCCCATGCTACTCCTATATTCTATAGAAGTGCGAATGCGGTACAGTGTAGAATCCACAGCCACATACATATGGTTGGATAGAGTGCCGAAATGAGATTCGAAAAAGAGGACTCAAAAGGCCGTAAAAAATAGATATATGAAGTAGACGCTTTTGATTTCATGACTATCATATAAGCGGTCATGCGATCCATTTGGGGGGGCACAGCGCTTTTTTCAAGTACCACAAATATTTGATAGGAAATTTCGGCAGTTTTTCTAGAATTTCTTCTTTATGTAAGAAGAGTGTACATATAAAACGTCATGAAATTTTAATTTTTCTATAATATTCATTTTCTATTTAACAAAAGGAATTGAGTAATTTCATTTCGTTGGAAGATATTGACAATTGTAGGACTAGTAGGGTTTTTTACGAATCGAAAAAATCGAAAAGTAGCAATTTTCGATGAAAAATTGAGAGAAAAAAAATTCGATGGATATTTTCATCAGATAAAGCTCAACCAATCATCAAATCAGAATAAATCTGGAAAGTTATAATCAGGATTGTCCGACTCCATAAGTTGATCGCTCTTTGGAAAATAGAAATAGACGGATGCAGAATGAGAAGAGGGGGGAGAGGACAGACTTTCTATCCCTCATTCACGTTATAATTGACGTTGGTGATGGAAATGTCCATCCGAAGTTGTTTTTTGCTTTTCCTAGTGAATTTTCAATAGTTTTCAATGAAGTTGGTTTGTGTATTCCGTATGACCTTTCGCAAAATCAATCGTATAGAATTCGAAATCACCTAATTCCTTCTGTTAAATAAAAAAAAGAATGTTATTGAAAAATGAAAATTTCATGCCTACCGTTTTTTATAAATAAAGAAGATATTTTTTTTTAATCGCCGAATGTTTCCATCAAATACTTCTGGTACTTAAAAAAGTGGTGTGACCCCCGCCCCCCAAATAAAAAAAAATTATGGAATCATGGAAATATGTTTATAGAATTTATATATAGAGTGAAAGTGATGAGACTTTCGCCAGAAATATTCCACAGACGCTTTTTGATTCTAATTAAAAATCAACGTTATCTAAGTTTTGATCTATTGGTTCATGTGATAACTATATCTTTGAGGCTTTTTAGGCTTCCATTGACTCCAATCAACACATCAATCGAAACTAACGAAGACTGCCCACTGATCAATCCTGAAACATCTACGGCAACGAATACTCACTTCAATGATTCTAAAGATCATTCCGAGAAATCCGACTCATCCAAACCCGTCTCAAAGAGTACAGAGGATGATTCGAACCATGTAACTTCGTCTAGAATAGAAGAGAGATTGAGAACGACTTTGCACACGAAGAAAAAGAAGAAGAAGAGATCCAAGTCTCCTTCAAGCGTAGATGAAAGTCGCGTCGAAACTGGAAAACCAAAAACTATCACGTGAGTTCTTGATATTCGGTATTTCACTACCAATATGGTCGATTAATACCACTCAATATCGATTCCTTTTCTTGAATTTCAGTCCGAGCATCCCCTATTCCAAAGAAGAATCTGCAAAAATACAGAAGTTTCTCGCTGAGAATAAAACAGCTTGTGACTTATCGGGTGTCAGTGTATGGAAAAAAATGGATGAAGCGAAGGTACATGATTACAAGAAGCATATGAACCTCGCTATCTTTTACCATTCATAATTATTATTATCCATATTACAGATTTTCGTCCAGCCATATCGTTCACGGAAGAGCTTATATAGTTACTATTGCAAAAACTTACGGCAAAACAGTGAGAAATATTTGAGGGATAAGTGCAACCTTGATGAATGCCACAAGCCAATTGAAGATGTCCATGACAAAACGTAAATATTTCAGAACTTGTATTCATAAAGACTATTTTGAAGTTTCAATTTTGTACGGAAATTATCCTCTGAAATCAGGTCCTTGATGTTGAAAAAAAAAAAGGGTAGATGATATTTCTGTGATTGACTCCCAAGAATGCTTGAATTTCAGAATTTAAGAGAATACTTGTTAACAGTCTCATCTATTCCGAAATGGTTAAGTTCTGAGACAGAGGACGTGCTGTCGATACCACCCAACGAAGGAATAATGAAGATTTTTGCATCTAAACCCCAACTCAAAACAATTTACAGACTATTTAGTGTTCTTCTACTATTGAAGTTGACTATTCTACTCTCGACTTGATATTTTCTAATTGTAAATGCTCAATTCTTCCTGGACTTCACTAAATTATTGGAGGACAGACCAGTGCGGTCATACCTCTATTCAGCTGATACCGCTCAGTACTCCGTAGTTGCCTTGCTATTAACAATTGTGACGTAGAATTTTTTTTTGTATAATTGAACCGAATGAATTGAATGGATGAAATCAACTCTTTACTCTACAAAACATGAAGTCTTTCAAGTAATAATCTTGAATTGTTGTCTAAGAATTTACACTGTAAGATTTTTTCTATTCAAAATTCAAAAATTTTGATGGAGCATTTTGAAAAAAAATGTTAACTATATAAAAACTGAAGCCGTTAGATAATTTTAAAGGTAAAACTAAAAAATAAATAAATTTGACCACTTAAGAACTAAAAAAGCGTGACATGAGAAGCCAGCTGTACCGAGGAGCTGGTCACTTAGGTAATCACTGGACCACTCGATTGGAAATCAAGGAAGAAATCACTAGAAATCATAAAAAAATCAGGTGATTTCATAAATTATTAGAAATCATCGATGAATGTGAAACCGAACTTTTTTATTCGAGCTCACTCATACGGTCCCATTTGACCCTCATGACATTCTTATGCACATGTCATTTGGTTTTTACTATCACATCCATAAGACCCTTCTAAACTCTTTGGTTTCTCAAATCTTACCTATATGACCCTCTTCACCGCATTGCACATTTCTTTGAGCATTTCACTCTCAAGCTTGAATCTAGATTTTATATGACTCTTGTGAATCTTCTAACTCTTCTAATCCTTGAGGAAAACAGTGGTCAAGCGGTTTGTATACTATAGGAAGTTCATAATATTTAATCCAATGATCCAATGATTCTCCGAGTCATTTCCCCATGAGATTCATAAAATGAATTACACAGTTCTCATGCTAGGCATGACCCTTGCAAGATATGATGTTCGCTAGAAATAACCCTTCGCAGGTATGACTCTCGTAACCTTTGAACCTTGCGACGTTTGACCCTCGTGACGTTCGGTCATCGCGAGTTATGACTAGTGTGATGTTTGGCGCGTACCATGTTTGACCTTAGCCAGATGTGACCGTCATGACGTATGGCCATCACTAGGTACAATCCACGTGGTGTATTACTGTCACGAGGCTTCACGGTTTATGATGAAATATGACGTTACGAGGTTTTCAACCTGTTTTGACATCCTTATGTATCACGACGTCATAGAGAAAACTGCCATTATCGACAGATACCCCATTTTGGCCCCGAAATCATGATTTTTCGAGTGATTTCTTGGAATTCAAGAAATCATCAAAATTTACTAGAAATGATGCAAATCACAAAAAATCCAATTCAACTATTGCTTGATCTCTACATGATTATAACAATCATCAATATTCTGTTTACAGAAACCGGAAATATTCGAAAGAAGACGGTAAAAAAATCATGGACTACATAATCAAAAATAATCTAATCCATTACGTTGGAGGATCGATAGTTTGGAAGCAAATTGAAGCGGAAAGAGTGAGTAAGAGGCGGTAGAATGCCCATCAATAGGGATCTGTCTGCCACGTATTTTTAAATTTTTGATTTGTGTTCATAATATTTTTGATGAAAGAAATCTATAATTCGTCAATTTTTAGGCACGATTCCGATTCCTTTGGAGCCACGGTTTGATGATGGTTTCCCGAAGTATTTTGCCTCAGGAATTCGGGAAAAATAATGAAAAAATTCTATCTCTATTATTTATCGAGATTTTTCGTGTTTTTAACTTGAATTTTTAAATTTCGTCAAATGCTATACCTTACAATCTTGGGGAGGTGGGGGTAGGGGGGTTTAAGGGGGGGTAGGTAATCTGAAATTTTGGAGATGAGTTTTTCCTCCCCCCACTCTTTTTTTTTCATTTGTCTCAACATTAAATGTCGTAAATTGGTAAACTAGAATAAGGGTTTTTCGCTTAGGGTCAGTTATCGATGAATATCTTTGAAATCAAGAAAGATAGCGAAATTCTCATAAGGAGTTTTTTTTTATAGAGGGAAAGGTCAGCTATAAAAAAAATTTCAATGAAAATTTCTCTATCCCTCTTCATTTGCAAGATATTCATTGATAACCGACTCTAAGCGAAAAGCACTTATTTTAGTTTACCAATTCACGACGGCTTTCTCTAATGGTTTGAAATTTCTGCATAGTTTTGTGATTTCTAGTCGAGTTAATCCATTTTGTGCTATAAATATATTTTTTTTCATGTTATATATATTTTTTTAAAGATTACTGCATTTGTCTTCCTGAGTGGGAGGGGGCTTCGCCCCCAAATAGAATTGAAATTTAGAGAAAAAAAATTCCGATTCGCCCAGCCGGGATTCGAACCCGGGTCTCCCAGTTACGCGCCGGGCACTCTTACCGACTAAGCTACCGGGAACCACGGAAATTCTCACTCCAAATTCAACT